GGGGAGCAGAGGGAGAAATGTTGTCAGTAGTCGACCTGTCAGCTCTTTACGCCGTCGTAGCCAAAGAGAAGTCCCTTAACTAACGTCACCGTCGGAATTAGGCCCCAAGTCTCTCTGGCCATCGCATCGTGAGATGCTGATTATGACTATCGAGGCTTTTAAAATGAAATGTAAAACCATCAGGCGATTTGCACCGGTTCGAGAAATATAATTGCAGTAGGGATCATTTTTGTAAGTCAAAACAGATGTCAGATGAAGGATTATAACAATGGCTGTAGCTCAATCACTGTAACTCAACGGCTGTGCAGCCTTTCTCAATGTTTCCCATTTGTTGTACTGCTGTTGCTTTCGCGATTGAAGTCAAAATAATAAGTGGCTTTGCATTCGCTCGGAACAACCAAGAAACACCCTGCATCACTAACAACGTTAAATACTGTATGTGGTTCACACCTACGACATGTATAGATCTGTGTCAATCCTCTCCTGGATGAAATCCTCCCCAAGCCACCATGGGTCTTTCATGTTCGTTGAAATAAACATTTAGAATTAACTACTACATCCATTACTAAAAAAGCTGTCAAATTGTGGCTTACAATGTTCGGTGCATCTCTTTCTGCAGCAACAGAAGCAGCGGCAGCAGCAGCAGCAGCAGCTCCCAAAAGGGAAAGCCCTGGAATCTGGAGACCTGTCTGGGGGATCACTTGGCTCTGGATGTTAGCGATGCTGGTGACAAAATAAGACGCGATGGGCATAAACCGGAATTACCTTCTGCCGCAACGGGACGTGTGCACTGCCGCCTGCCCACCTGCTCGCGCTTGCGTGCGCGAGTCGCACACCCATCCACCCACTCTATCACCGCCAATCCCCCCCCCCCCCCCCCCCGCATGCGCATCACCCTATGCTTGCGTGCAGCTGTCGTGTTCTTCCTCTAAGAGCCCTTGGCGGTCCTACGCAACTTGGGATTTGGAGTGGGATGCGCGCATGGTGACACGCGCACGCATGCTCGGTGATTTCATGGGCAGAATCGGTGCCTCCTGTCCGCCCGTGTAACACGCCAAACTGCGACTGGCTTTGTTTCGGAAAAGCGACTCTAATGCACGGAACGAGGTGGTAGGTGACGCTGCTGCCGATGCCGCTGATGCTGCTATGGGGGTAACGTTTAGCACGCAAGCTCGACTTGCAACTCAGAGGTCACCGCTTAAATCTGATCTCCAGGCATTGCAGTTGAGACAATGGGCATTAAAAAAATATATATCTGCCTCCTGCCCCGGCCTCTTCCAGCTCTTCCAAGATGTCTGGCCAGTGGAAAAGTAGGCCAATTATGCTTCTAGTTGGGCTCTCCAGAACTCCTTCGAATGAAGGTGGTTCTGCCAGAAGTGGTGTGAGCAAGCAATTGCAGGACTGCAACTTTACCTTAAATTTTAACCTGTAAATGTTGAGAAAATCTATTGCATTTTCTCAATTATGTCGAGTCGGTGGTCTCAAATGATAAAATGACCACACATGCAGTTCTTGGGATCTGGTGGTCTTAATACGAGCTTTTGTACATGCAATGTACATTTCTGTGCGTTGTTAAATCCACGTCTTACCTTTTTTACGAGGTTACGAATAAAAATGTGGCTTTGAAAACTTAAAAGATTCAGAAATATGAACGACTTTTCGTCGTGGAATCCAAGTTTGACTAAAAGCAGCTGCTCAGACCTGTTTTCCAGTCATGGTCTTGTTTTGCCAGCAGTTGATGTGCCTCCAAGCTACAATATAAAAGCTAAGCCTTTGCCATATGCCCCAAAGAATTCCAGAAACAAAGCAATGTTTTAGTGTAACAGTTGATGCATTTGCTCTTAAAGATATACATTAATTATGTGCAAAACATAAGAACATTTCAAGGGATATATTATACACGTAGAATAAAATACCTCCATTCTTTCATGTTGAAATGAGATTTGAGTATGCTCCAGGAGCATTTCTTAGCAGTACATGTATCGTAATTTTAATTAAATACAAAAAGAAAAAACTTTATAATTTATTAGTTTGATGTAATGCCAAGATGTTGTTTTTAATTTAAAGCTGGTGCAATGGAACTTGCCTGTAGAAAAAAAAAATCAAGAGACTTGTGGTAAAAGTTTAATAAATTGGCAAGAAATGTTCACCTTAATACAATGACACTGTAAGAGATAGAGGGGGGAGGAAGGGACAATAATTAATAAATAATTTTGCACAGGACAAATGGAATTACATTTTATATAGACTAATCCAACGGGGATTTATGCCCAGAAATAATTTTAAATTTCTCTTCTAATAGAGATTTGAAGTGACTGTGTGCCCTAGTTGTCTTAATAAAATGGTTTGGTCATAGCCAGTAATGCCTATCCACCCTAATGAAAACTGACTTGGAGGGATCATTTTTTTCTGGAGAAAAAAATAATAACTATTACCCATTCGTATTTTTATGTGAGTTCATAAATGAATAAATGCTAATTTTCAGATTTTAATGGCAAGTGAGAGTGCGTTATTAATGCCCTGCAGGGAATTAGAGCCAGCAGCGCTTGCATGGAATGATTAAAATGCTGATTATTTGGTTAGGGGCTGAATATGTGAAGTTTGATTGAAACGTTCTATTCTTTTGGCAATATCAATGTATATATATAGTTCATGTTAAACTGATATGAAATGAAATATTGGACAATTAAAGATTTTGGCTGGAAATAATCCACGCTATTAATGACGTGAAACATATTTAAAGGTTTAATTAAAACCACGTCTTATCTTTTAATTGCTAGCAGTTTTCAAATTTCTATAACTCTTTTAAATTATAAAGCATGTCTTCCATATAGTTATAATAATATTAATTATAATGTACAGCCCCTTTGTCAATTTACTGCCACTCTATGGTGTGTTATTCATAGAAGTTGTTTGACCATACTTCACCAGTGCAGAATGGTGAAGAGAGCTGTCTGAGACTGGTTCAGATATCGCCCCGCAACTGATGTTTAGCTGTGGCCAGGAATCAAACTCAGGTTTTGCAGGATCGTGGCGCGCAATGTGCGCACCACTGTGCCACCACTCCACCCCAAAGTTGTCGGAACAAGTCCAATGTACAAACAATTTGTGATTTGCACAAAACGAACAGGGGAAGCATTTTATATTTCAGTCAACGAGGTCACATATGCATGCTTAATTTAACATCCATTGCACATTTAATTATTCCACGTTTTGCAACACGTAACAGTGTGCCTTATTTCCCAAGTCTATTAAATGCAATCTGCCTGCAACATCCTACATTTTTACTTTTAATGTGAGATTATTTAGTCATACGGTTTGATTAATTATTTAAGGGCATATCTGTTATCCATTAGTTACTGTTTAGGTACAGTAGCTATGTATATGCCTATTAAAAAAAAACTGGTCATCAGAAGAAAAAGAAGATTTACTTTAATTCCCATGAGGCCTCATGGTGGAAAGTGAACGTCTCAAATGATCATCCTCTCTCTCTGTGGCCTGTCTGTACTATGAAGAAGAGCTATTGCCCAAAACGTGACCTATCATCTGTTTTTTTCCCTTTTAAGGTGTTATTGACGAATGTGTCAACGCAACATCACCAAGCAGTTTTTTAAAGTTTATTAAAGTGTTGTCCCAATTAATACACTGAATGATGGAAATGTTGTTGTTGCAACACCTACACTTTAAAAGCCGAATCGGTGAACGTAAGCATTGACGCGACAACACTCTTCATCTGAGATAAGCGCTGCCAAAAAAAATGGCCTGGATATTTACTGCCCGTGTCGCTGGGATTTATTTTGCTTGGACGGACAGCAGCAGTGTGCTTGGTTGGAAACAGCATAGCGATTGCCCCGCGGAGAGACTCCATAGACCCGCGGGGTCAGGGACAAGGATGAGGCAGGCAGGCGCCATCACCTCCAATGACAGTTTTATTTCCATTGTCACTTGACTGCACACCTTTCGTTCTATCACAGGTCAATATCTCTCAGACCAGAAGCCCTTAAATAAGCGCGCTGGAATAAAACCGTGTGATGAAACCCATCTTGCGGCGGATGGAACCCTCATCGACAGTTTATGACCTCGTGTACTTTTTTCGGGAGCAATTCTGTACACGTCGGGGGAGGTGATTTAAAATTGTTTAGCTTACACCAAGTCTGCCTCTGTGTGTAAAAATGTTCTCAAATAAATTGCGGCCAATTGGTTTTCTTTTTTTTGATCAGGATAGAATACCTCATGACACACTTGTAAACGTTGAGACGGAGGAGACTTGTCCATTTTTATGACATGAGACGGCCCAAATGAACTGTTTGACACTCAGATGAGTTTTCAAGTGTATATTTTTTCTTTCACGAGACTTTCATGGGCATTTTATTGATTTGCTGATGAATGTGTTATTTTTTTCTCCATCAATTAACACAAGGTACTGTAGTCGTATTTATGAGTAATACCTTGCTGCGTGTGACACACACAGCCCACACATCTCAGTTGCATGGGCCAATGCACATGAATGCGTTAATGGCACATTTCCCAGATCCAGGCAATAAAGCAACTACAAATGCAATACGTTGTACAAACAACATCAGATTGACTTACTGGGTCTGATATCATCTTGCCAAATGGACAATTTTTTCGTGCCATATTTTGTGTAAAAATGGCTTAACTTTCCATAAAGTATGTTAGATTTTCATTTCCTAAAAAAAAAATAGTGGCTTTGTTATCCAAAAAAAACCCTCCAGGGATGAAAATAGAGCCAGCTATTTCTTGAGTGGGGATGCTGCTGTGGGGTAATCGTGTAATGGTTAACAGACCCATATGCACTTTTAACGTGTCGTATTATACAGTTCATGGAACCCTTGTAATTTACTTGTTGATTGTGCTTGATCTATTTCTCAGCAAATTGTGCATAACTCTGAAGTGAGACCAATACAATTTTATGATTAATAATGGTAATTTCACGTATTAATGTTTTAGTGTGTCAATTCAGAAACAAAGCACGTAGCTGTTCTCCAACTCTGGCTACGGTCTGCATGCGTAAGCGCTACGGCGTTAATGCGACGCAGGGTGCAGCCCGCGGAGATGACGCGAACTTTCAAGGGAGACCGTGGTAATGTACACCCGTAATATGTCTGTTTCCACAACAATTAATTCGTCGCGAATAAATATAAATTGAGCGTAAACAACGTGCAGAACGGACGCCGACACTGCGTGTGCTGTAAGTGGTGGGCGGGGGGGGGGGAGATGGCTGTTGTTTTCTTCCACAGTGCCCTGTCAGCAACACTATAATTACAGGTGTGATGCGTCCCTGAGGGTTTGTTCTCATTTAGGAGACTTCCTGCCCAGACCTCATTAGAGCGTGCCAGCTTAGAGACATCGTGCTTGCCACCCCATTATTAGGTGCTGGGGAATAATGAGGGATGTGTCTCTGACAAGTGACGTTTAGGTGTCAATTATTCCGCACGTAATTACACAGGTTGTCGGGTTAACAGTTGAGACATGCAGGAGCTGAGCAATATTCTATTAGACTCGCAAGTGGTCCACACCTTAATTGAAACTGTAACATAGCTTATGAAGCTGGGGCCTAGCGGTAGCACGATCCAATGTTTATCCGTACGCATTTATAATCCTGCTGATATTTTGGCGTCTGTTATTTTTAGTTTTTGTTAAATGTCACCCCGAGCGATCGAATGTCACAATGGCAGAAACATTGAAGCCACTACCGCGGCGTTTGACAACTAAACTTCTTTCGTGTCTTCATAACTACGATCTTGTGTAATAATGGCGGTGCAATTACGAGCACGATGCTGCACTCTCTTTTCAGTGCTACCTAATAAATGTTAGTAATATAAATCACCTCCGGCAACAGCACTGACAGCATTGTGTGAAAGATGTGTGTGTGTGTTTCACCAGGCTGACAACGGCTTGTAATATTGCTATAACACATTCCGTGTGAGGTTCTGATGGAAATCTGACTTCCTTCATGTCCCTTGTATGCTGAGCGGTTTATAAAGAGGTGCACGGTAGAGAGCCTGCTTTAAAAAAATATCCTGAGGGGAATTAAAAGTTCCTGGCAATAGGAGACGGTTCGTAAGTTTGAATACTTGTTACACAGGTGTAAGCTGGAAGCAGATAATTCATAAGTCATCATAATTATCACCATAGTTGTTTACAGCATATTTATCTTCATCATGTCATGCCATTCTCATTTTACAGCACACTGTGTGAACTGACTTCTCTTAAAATAATTTAGTAAGGTAATTTGCAGAGAAGACCAGTCAAATATATGTATACCTATTACAATATATTCTCACCTACAGTGTGATTGATCATATTGTGAAGCTTTTAAAGTTTTACTGAAAAACAATAATATGAATTTATAATTTTACCATCAAAATACTTGATCAATTATTGCTAGGAAAAAAAACACGCATTTCACCTATCGGTGACTGAAATGACAGCTAGTATTTGAAATTTGTAAAGATAAGGTTTGTCAATTGAGACCACTCCACCATGAACCGGTACCTATTGAGTGTGGAGCTCTTTTGAGTGGGACACTTGTGGTGGAGGTATTTGTGGTAATTTTATTTAATCACCACGTTCGGGAAGATGTTGCTAAAATGGTTAACCTTTCGAGACCTTGAGATTTGATCTACAGCAATAAAATGCAATTTGAGCAATTACCGTGCCGCAATATGGGTTATGCGGGGATGAGTGGATGTGTGATTTGTAACTGTCTCATTGATTTCCTTGCCTGCTGTCACCCAAAGTTTTTAAAAGGATTACACAGTTCTGTTTTCTGAAGGGGGTGGAGGGAGGAGGGAAATACATCTCACACTTTTGTACACGAGCTGATCGACATTGGCGCTCGGTGGAATCAATCTGTGCTAAAGTGCGGGCTGAAATTTGCTGCAGAACTGCCTCGTCTAACGTGAACCTGAATGTGCAAACTCTTTTACAAACGTTAAACCTGGAATTGTACATTTCAAACGTTGCCTCGGGGAGGCATCCTGTCGTTAATGAACGGTAACAGTTAACTTGCAAGCTTCGACTCAAAGTCGCGTGCGTTTTTTTCGCAGGCACGCACACCACAGCCTCGGTATCCACCCCTCGCATTTAAAACTGAAAAGTCGGAGCCGCGCACTCTCCCCCATTGAGGGCTTAGTCGGAGAGTCGCAGTGTGCGCACACGCACACGGACGTGATGCGCTGTTAACGTATTTAAAAAAAAAATCGACCGGGACAGCTTTTTTGTAGGAAGCTGCGGCACCACACTCTGAATGCCTCCCCAGGGAACTTTGGAAATGCTAGTTAGCATCTGGAAGGATAAGTTGTGAAGAAAAAAAAAACACATTGAATTGGTTGGTTTAGGCTGATGAACACTCAGGGTTGGCTGCCGGTTCATAATGAGCAGAAACAATGTGCAAGTGAGAGACTTGCCCTCCCACCCACCCGGGCCCTTAATGACACTCGATCACACCGATGAAATGTGAAGGGACACCCCTTAATTGACTTCCCAGATGCAGCGATGCGACCAAAATTTCCGTCTTTTATTTTTCTTCGTGAACCAAGTTTAGTAATTCCGAGTAGAGGTAATTTGTAACGGTTTTTTTAATACGTATTTTAATGGCAGGTTTAAAACTTTTAATTTATTCTTCTTTTATGTTTCTTAAAGCCATTCCAAAAATGGTAATTTCAAAGAGAAATGCACTTTCTTGGCTCCTTAATATGATAAGCATTTAATAAAACATTGATATCTAAAACATTACTTCTTGCACAAAATAAATAGCATTTCAATAGTCAACCATTAAAATTTGCACATCTGAAATATTATCTCCAACAAAAAAGCACATTGCTCTAAAAAAATTATAGTCAAGAGGACGAGAAAAAATTCCGTCTGAATTGTGATAACGGGCACTCGCTACAAGGAATCTGAGCTTCCGCGCTGTGGTGTAATGTGCGTATAGGATGGCATGTAACAGTAAATAGGAACACGAAAAAAAAGTGTGAGGAATATTTTCATGCCATTGTTCAGTCACGCCAACTCTGGCCCCTTCTCAACAAACCGAGAACCACCACCCTAACCTCATCCACCCCCTTCCCCAAGCCTATCTTCTTACCCCCTCCGCCCTCCGCCACATCCTTTCACCCCCTAAAATCCCACAGAATGCGTGGGCGTTTGAATAGATGTAGGATGCATAATGCCATAGCCCCGTATTGGCCTTCCCAGTCACGTCCCAAGCACAGTGAAACAGAGCCTCACTTCATTGGGCGCCCATCACGGACCTTCACGCTTATAGAGCCGTTACCCCCAATTGTCGTTACGCTCCTGTGGAAATTACTCGCCTCCCAGCAATTAACTGAAACATCCCAATTTTTCACACCGATGCTCGGTGTTGGAGCATAGTTAAATGCGAGACGTTTATTGGTTCTTTTTGCAGCGTGGCACAAGTAATGGACCACTGTTCAACTAAGAGCCGCACTAAAATAACTATGATAAATTTAAATTTTGCCAAGTTAATATCTGAAATGGCAGTGACGTTTGTTATAATAGGATTTCTTCCAGTGTGTTTCGCTACCTTCATATATCACTTTAATATACATTTTATTATAATCTCAAATAATTCCGGGATGCAAATTACTGACGTATAGCATTCAGTGGGTTTTTTTTCTTTCGTGTCTAATGCAAACTGCAACATTCTGAGATTGGCAATTAGTTAGACTTTTTTCCCAGCGAGATCATTACGCCGTGTTCTTGTTTCAGCAGTGTTGTGCTTTATCAGATTGGAACTCATTAAGACGTGCCTCCCCTAGGGAAATCCCACCCTCGCCTGTCAGGGGCTTTACAGAGGTCGTGGTCTGTGGCTTCAGCAAAAGATCTGACCCCCTGCTGACCCACATGAGATCTCCCAACACCACCTCAGCCTAACCCCCCCCCCCCACCAACTCCCCCATAGCCTATTTCTCTCGGTCATCAATCCAAGAAAGGGCTTTCGCTTCCCCCCCCCCCCCCCCCCCCCCCACTACTAGATGTTTAAAATGAACGACCCGAGGCTTTTAGGCATCGGCAGAGCCAGAGGCGGCCAAACCATCTCACCATCAGTCTTGGCATCTACAAAATCTGCAGCTACGGTGGGGTAGGGGGACCACGTGGCCGAGCGAGACCCTTAGGGAATGCACATGGATGGATTAACAAAAAGCAGTTCATTTATCAATTTTTAGTTCAGCTACACAGTATAGTAGAGTATGGTGTTAATGTTAATTTCCTCTGTTTAGTTAACCGATAGCATCTGGACCTTTCCAATGACCTCCTGCTGCAGTGAGCCTTTGCCACTTCATATAGCCTCAAAGGGCACCTAGCCTGGCACAGGCATTTATATAGATGTTACAAGCACTTAGTGACCACGATACCAGCCAGGTATTTATGTGATGTGTGGCAGCGCAGCGATTAGCACGCTGACTGACCGGAGTTTGAGTCCAGCCATTGATAGCGTAATCAGAAAATTATATCTGAGGCTGCACCTCGTGATTTATTTATGGTCGTGCTTGTGTTTTATACACCAGGTGCGTGGCATTCAAAGAATAAAAAGGGCAAAAAGGGTAGATAGAGGTAGAGTAGTACTCCTGGATCTCCCAAGTCTTCCAAAATTATCATCGGGAAAGAAGAAAACCCATAGATGACAGAGACTTTACTGAATTAAAATCCTATAACGTCCATATTGCTTCTATGTTTAAGATTACAAAGGGGGTGACTTAATGAAAAGTGACCTAAATCACATTTCTGTTGTGCTTTATTTTACCTTGTGTAACTAAGATGCTGCACAGGCTCCGAGTGGAACAGCCTATGGGTTTAATACTTCAAAACAAAAAGATGATTGTGCTACCTTCACGTAACATTGCCATTCGAGCTGTCACAATGAACTTACGAATGAGGGTATATCCTCATGCTTAGGAATGCTTTCTGGAGTTCCCCCCAATATATAGACATTCATGGATGATGCGATGGCTGTAGCACAATTCAAATTGAAGTAGTGGATAATAGCAGCACAAAACTAAGCCCTGAACCTGTCCTGTGCCTCCCCTTGGTCAGCTCACCCCTTAAACGAGTGTCTGAGATGTTCAAAAGCAGCACCAGGGATACAAAGGCAGCCAGGCTTGATACTGGCCTACCCATTCCACCTGCATGCCATATCAGCATGTATAGAGTCTCACTAACAGCACTTGCCCCCAGTCTATAAGGCTGAACATACACATTTATATATCCAGTCGACTCAGCCTCAAATGAGTACCTGGTACAGTGTGTAAACATTGCCACTGGGGAGACAAATGCGGTCGGACGTGGTGCTGGCCACCCACCCCCTCGTGTGCCGTGCCAGCTTTCATGATAGGTGCTGGCTAACAGCACTTGCCCTAAAAGTCTGTAAAGGCCATAGGAGGATCTTTGTCTTTCTTTATATATCCAGGCAAGGTAAAATGTCTCTGGAAGACATTTCTAGACTGAGAGAGCAAAGTGGTGTCTGCAATATATTGTAATTAATATTGTTAATTCGTGATGGCCAGTAATTCACTTTGAACCAGATTCATCAAAACAATGCCTCGTAGATACATTTTTGCAAGAAACACCATGCACTTTCTCTTTGACCCAGTGAATATTCTGTCGCTGTCTGCATTAAAATAATTCATATTTTAAGTTGTTTACTGACGTACTTGTGAATAATATTAAAATTTAAACATCATTTATGTATTATTCAACTAACCACTTTCCATAATGAAACATGTCTAGCTTTCAGCCCGTAATGCATGCTGAGTAATTGAATGGCATTCCACGCGTAAGTATTTTAGATCAGCAGACAAGCAACGCAAATGCAAATCCATAGAGTACCTTTTTTTCAATAATTGAAATCTCTTCTTTGAATCTTCCACAGACCTCTGGACCACCAGCTGTAAACTACCATCACTACAAAGGAGCACTCCATCTGCCATTAAAAGTAAGAGAGGGGGTCCCTTTGCTATCCATGCACGTTGAAAAAGATTTGAAGGATCAGGCCAGCACTTTGATCTCGTGGCAGATCAAAAGCTCTTATCTTTTCTTTAATTCATACAGGGACTGGCTGACCCCCAACCCCTTTCCCTCTGGTATGGGCTGATCTTAGTTGGGAGCTCAATAGGCGATGGCGATTGTTAATGCATGATTTATTCGCTCCGATGCCCCCCCCCTTGCTCCCCTCCGGCAGCGCCTCCGGCCAATCAGCCGTTCACAGCAAAAGCCCTCTTCACTCGCGATGATCCGGGGGGCGTGCTAATTTGAGAGCCATTATCACACCAGTGCATGTGTCTGCTGGGCATCTGACATGTTTTAAACATGAGGGGCCTTCCTTTTCAAAGGTGCCATTGTACTTTCCTCTTTTTTTGTTCTTTTGTCCTTCGCTTTTTTAAAATACAAATGAAAATGTGTTTTTAGTAGAATTTGACACAGGTTTGATACAATTCCCCCCCCCCCCCCCTGCACTATCTCACTTGCTGCATTGCAGAATATATGTTTTGTTGCAAAGTAAAGAGTACCCTTTCTACAAGTGTCGTTTTGAAACAAAACGAGCAGACTTAACATTGATATAACAAGAGGTGTTACCCTTTATATTGTTAACATTGTATGTTGGCTTATGCATTCAGCTTTTGTTTAGGAAAGGTAAAAAAATATTGAAAATGTATTTACAAAATTAAAGGTCCTCGCAACATTTTTATTTTATGAATGTAAGACATGAAGCCGCTTTAACCACGTGTAGCTGAACATATCACGGCACGCGGTTGCAACTATCCGTCTAAAAATATCGATACGAGGAGACCGTTTATAAATTCCGAAACCATTAGAAGAAGCATCAACGTACTCGGCACAACGCTATTTCAATTTCGGCCGAGTTATCTCGGGTCTGAGTTAATAATCAAATTTGTCATGCATTCCCAATTGAGTCCACAGATTACATCATAAATGCCCAACAACGGTAGGCTTTCATGGTCAAAACAAAGAACGGAGAACAATAGAACTTGAGCTGTTTTCTTACTTATAGATTGGACGCCGATGTTCTTTCATTGCCATTTAGCTCCAGCAGATTACGGCTTCAAAGCCACGGATTCCCATCTTTTGAGAACTCTGGCGGCCGCAGCTGCCGCGAGGACAAAAGTACCACAAATAAAAAAAAATCCTCACCCCAATTATCTCAGAAAAGAAAAAAAACTGCCCATTAAAAAAAAAACCCGAAACCCATTTTGACAATGGCACGTTCCGTCGTTTGGAGGGGTTTGCTGTGTCTCACCCCCTTGCTTCTGAGAGCGTGGGGAAGTGCGGATTGTGTTGGGGGCTGGGGGATCGTGAGTGACAGAGACGTGGAAGAGGAAGGGCTGTCGAGAGGGCTTGATGACTCCAGCTTTAACAATAAGCAAAAAGCCAGCGAGAGCTGTCGGGAGCTGCATCTCCTTTGCCCTCTCATTAGGGTGCTCAGAATGTGTAATGGGGCGGCCCACGGCAAAAACCAACGGCAAATCCACTCCACAGCCTCGTGCTGCAAGTACAGCTGGATTCTTGCTTGAGCGCACCCGTGCGTGTACATGTACATAGTATGTGTGACCCCCTTTGTAAACTCCACTGCTGGATAAGGGCTTTAGATCCTCCATGCCGTGTGGTTCGAAGGGGGAGGGTCATTATATCATCGAGTGCGCGTCACCATGCTGGTCGGTGAGGGATGAAGGTGGGAAGCATAAACGTCGGAGCATATATGTGAAGTACAACAATGTTTTTGTCTGCACTGCCCTCTCTTGCCCATAGAATAGCTGTGCATTTAAAAAAAAAATACCCGATTTACGCTTGTTTTTTTTGCCCAAGCACTATCCACTTCCAATTAGCACGGTTGGCTCCAGAAATAATTGATATATACATAAAAAAAAACAGGGTCAACGCTGCTGAGCATTCAGGATCTGATGAAATTGGGTGCATTTTGGGTGGTTTGGTCATTGCCACCGTGCGCTTGAAGTGTCCTTCGAGAATACGGTCGTTGCAACACAAATTGCGGACTAGAAAATATGCCACACATGTAGACGACATCGTATTTTTATAACCTTCTACAACGTGGGGCGAATATGAACGCAAGCCAGCATTGTACTCAATAAACACAAACGTTCCCTTGTATCTTATGACATTTCTTCGTTGCGAGTACCTTCTATGAAAATTAATGGCATTGTCTGTAATTGAACATATCAGCAAGCCGTGCAAATAGACGTCTGCTAATTACACACAATTCATCAGCACAGCACCGCGTGTCCGTGTCAAGAGCGGTTACATCCCTCACATTCACAAGCACACGAATCCCGAACGTAAACATATTTTGAGAACCACCGTGAACATTGGTTCCTAAATACACACGCACATGTCCACCAACATTGAGCAAACACACAGCCACAATAAAATCTAGAATCCCGGAGAGAATCCTGCCCACTAAGCCCGAGAGTTCAATTACACAGCAGAGTGGCGCCCAAAGACTCGCCGGTGAAGGCTACGGGGCGAGACGGGCCAGCCGGCGGCTGCGCGTTGATTGCTTGCAATCTACATAAATCCCCCTGTTGTTTTCCCCGCCGCCGCCGCATGGGCAGCGTCCCGTGAAATGGCACGGCGGAGCGCGTCTGCTTCGCCAGATGCTGATATCTGGCGCGTCGGGCCAGGGAGCGAGAAATGAGGCCCCGCGGGCCGCATGCTGATTCGCTTGTCTCCGAGTCTGTTTCTCTCACACTCACCTTGTAGCGTACACCCAGCCACTACTGGCCCACGGCACACACTGAACCACCCGCCCACCTGCTACTGACCAAACCCACATATTCACCCACCCAATATTGACCCACCCGCCCACTACTGACCCACTCACACACCCACTATCAACTGCTGGCACGCACACACACGCCCATCTACCCACTACCGACTACCGAACGACACACACACACACCCATACATTCACACACCCATACATTCACACACCACTACCAACTACCGACCCACTCGCACCCACATGCAGTGCCGACCCACCCTATAACTCCACATACCCACTAATGACCCATTAATTACTCATCTACACACCCTAAACACACCCACCCAACTACTGAACGTACCCGCCACGTGCCTTATACAACCAGCCTCTTTCACCCCATTATTTATCGCTGTGCGCATCTTCCACCTCGTACAATAGCAGTCATCGCAGCGTCCTTCGTGCACACATTTAGTATTGTTTAATGTGTTTAGCCAGAGTGAATTGGTCTAATTTTCTGAGGAGTCTCTAAAGGGGGTGGAAAGTGGAGTGTCATCGACCGTATTCACTCTCTTTCAGAGTGGAAAAATGGGAAAAAAGTTGAACGTGTAACAGTTGGCACATTAGCATCACTTGACTAATTAGGTAGGCAAATTTAAGTACGGAATTTATCATGGAAATCTCATATCGCCGGTGGCAAAGTGTGCTGCTGCTTTAACCTTGCACACTTTAAAACACACTCTCAATTGCTTTATATTTTCCCTAAATCCACACTATAATGTTGACAGATCAAAGGGTTTTCTCCCTCCCCCCCTTCTATACCTAAAGATATAGAAGGGGGAGTTTGGCACTATACAAAAATGTATTTTCCTGGTAAATGTGTTTGCAAGAAATGAATCATGTGTTTTGGTTCTGGATGGGTTTTGCATTCATCCAACAAACCTATTTTGACTTTGCTTATTTGTAGAGCTTAACCGATGATTATCACTGTGTAACAAAAAATATATATTTTGTTCCTGGGTAGTAAGTGTCATTTTCTAATTGCTTATGCCTCAAAAGCACAAATGGCTATTATCTCCAGAAACTTTGCTTTTGTAACCAGGACAGAAAAGCAAAGGTAATCATCCACTCCGTTAATAACACTGTAACAAAAATGTTTTTTTTGTTCCTGGGTAGTGTTATTTTCTAATTGCTTATGCCTCAAAAGTTCAGAAAATGGCTATTATTTCCCCACAGACTTTGCTTTTGTGACCAGGACAGTGCTATTTAGAATTTACCTATTTTAAATAAAAAAACGGGCGAATTTGTGTATTTTCGTTCACATAAAGTCCTGGTCACAAAAGCAAAGTTTGTGGGGAACAATAGCCATTTTCTATACTTTTTAGGCATAAGCAATTAGAAAATAAGCTTACTACCCAGGAATAGAAATTGTGTTACGTAGTGAATTATTCAAGCGATGGGTTACTTCAGCCGATGACGCGACGAATCGGATGGAGGAGGGGAAATGTTCCATTTCTGTTCCCACGTGTGCCGCCGGATAGCGAGTGAACACCAAAAAAAAATATTTTTCCAAGGAAAACTTTCCATGAGATGTGGAATTTGTGTGAACATGTGCTTAACTATTTGACTAGTTTGAAAACTCATTTCTTTCGAACTGCGTTTGTGTGTTTAGTTTGTTGTCCTCTCAATTAGCATGGTTGGCTACGTACGGTGCGAAAGAAAGTTCAACATACGTACATACATAGTTCCTACTATGCTAAAATCCCTAGATGTCATGTCTTAGGAACACTCTATCTTTTAATCAACTTTCAATTTGCCTCGCCTATGGTCCTTAAGCATCAATGTACCGATATACAAGCAGATGATTAATTCATTTGCCTCACAACGAGCCTCTCGCTGAGTTTCAAGGCTTATTTTAAAGAAGATACCACGTGATATATTTAAATATACACACACTCCTTTTTGAAGATGTTTTACTGATTTTATTTGTGGGAGCAAGTCGGACTGGCTGGAGTAAAGCCCACGCATAGCTAACAACCCAGCAGCCTACTTTGCCGAATTTGAAATTGAATCTGGAAATTATTGCAATTTTCTTTTCGAGTTACGGACAAACCTCCCAGAACTCAGAGCGAAATCAGAAATCGGCACGACCCGAGCGCACCCCCACAGAGCAGCCGCGCAGCAGCACAACCGGGATGCGT